ATCAAAGTGCAATGCGGCACAATCTCAGACAGTGTATTGCAAAACTAGGAACATGTACATAATTATAAGATTTATTTGCATATTGCACACACACATACATATATACACATACATACACACACACATACACACACACACACACACACACACACACACACACACACACACCTCACAAGCCTTGCCCGTATAGCCAGGCAGACAGTCACAGGAGAAGTCATTGGTCAGGTTCTGACAGGCACGACTTCTGGTGATGTTGCAGGGGTCGCTGTCACATTCGTTGATGTCTCTCTCACAGGTGGGCCCTGACAGACAGATCCGTGGTAGTTAACGTTTACGGCTTTTGTAACACATTAGGTCATGTTTTAGATTTACTAAGGTTTTTACGGCACTTGCAACACAATAAGGTCATATAAGTGCCGAAAAATACAATACAGTAACAAACACAAAAAGAAGTAGTTGAGATGATAGATTTTTGATAGGAAAGAAGAAGTAAACCACACCAGAGCACCCGCCAACCACCCACCAATTAGGTCATACAAATGCTGAAGACGAGAGATTTTGCTGAAGAGTAACATACAAAGCAAAGGAGGGGAGACAGTTCTGTTTTAGTAAAAGTTTACGGCACTTGCAACACAATTAGGTCATACAAATGCTTAAGACTGACGATTTTACTGGAGACTACCATACAAAGAAATAAAAGAATGGAGATAAAAGTACGATAGATGTTTGCTAGGAAAGAAGGAGGAGATAAAAGTACGATAGATGTTTGCTAGGAAAGAAGGAGGAGATAAAAGTACGATAGATGTTTGATAGGAAAGAAGGAGGAGATAAAAGTACGATAGATGTTTGATAGGAAAGAAGGAGGAGATAAAAGTACGATAGATGTTTGATAGGAAAGAAGGAGCAAACCCCAACAGAGCATCCGCCAACCACCTACAATAACAGTTTACAGCACTTGCAACACAATTAGGTCATACAAATGCTTAAGACTGAAGATTTTTAGAGTAACATACATACAAAGAAAAGGAGGGCAGATAAGGACGATAATTATTTTATAGTAAAAAGAAGCAAAAACACCAGAGCACCCGCAAACCACCCACGAAAAGAGGAAATGACGAAAATTATTACTGACTAGCTAACTGACCACACGGTACACTAGTGTATAGTTACTGACCACATGGTACACTAGTGTATAGTTACTGAACACACGGTACACTAGTGTATAGTTACTGACCACATGGTACACTAGTGTATAGTTACTGACCACACGGTACACTAGTGTATAGTTACTAACCACATGGTACACTAGTGTATAGTTACTGACCACATGGTACACTAGTGTATAGTTACTGACCACATGGTACACTAGTGTATAGTTACCATCAAACCCAGTGCCCGAGCAGTCACAGAGGAAGTTGTTGAGCAGATCCGTGCAGTTCCCTCCATTTTTGCACGGGCCAGGCTCGCAGTCGTTGATGTCATGCTGGCAGCGGTGTCCAGAGAAGCCGTCCCGGCAGGAACACAGGAAGCCGCCGCCCGTGTCTGTGCACGGCGCCCCGTTCTCGCACGGGTCGGGGTCGCAGAAGTTGATTGATTTACACACCTGGTTCCTCGCCGCTGGCGCCAAGACAGATGTGAAAATACAGATGTGTCAATACAGACGTGTCAATACAGACGTGTCAATACAGACGTGTCAATACAGATGTGTCAATACAGATGTGTCAATACAGACGTGTCAATACAGATGTGTCAATATGTCAATACAGATGTTTCAATACAGATCCACGGATATGTCAATACAGATATGTCAATATGTCAATATGTCAATACAGATATGTCAATACAGATATGTCAATATGTCAATACAGATATGTCAATATGTCAATACAGATATGTCAATATGTCAATACAGATATGTCAATATGTCAATACCGATATGTAAATACAGACGTTTTATGCCACACTGAACAAAGTCTCACCTGGTCCTGTAGTTGTCATGTCATGTCTCACCTGGTCCTGCAGTTGTCATGTCATGTCTCACCTGGTCTTGTAGTTGTCATTTCATGTCTCACCTGGTCCTGTAGTTGTCATGTCATGACTCACTGACCAATGTCTCACCTGGTTCTGTAGTTGTCATGTCATGTCTCACTGACCAATGTCTCACCTGGTATGCCACACAGGTAGCGGACCCTGTAGTTGTCACACTGACCGCTGGCCTGCATAGAGTTCTCACAGAGGGCGCCACTGTCCGAGCACATGAGGCCCCCGCCACTTGCCCCAGGTGAGCTGGCCTGACACTCCACACCTACGATCTCCGAGGAGGCGCACGGCACGATAGAGGTGAGCTGTTGGGAGAGACAGGTGTTTGACATCCAACAAAAGGTAGATGTGGTCGCTTTTAAGCACAAGGGGGCCATCCCGAAAAGTGCTGCTGTTTTGAGATAACCGAAACTTTTTGTCCCCTGTTCAGTTTCTTTAAAAGACAAGGAGAGTTTTCTCTATAACCAAACAAATATACACACCAATGAAGCCAAACTTCTCCTACAGGTAGGGCAGTGCCCACTTTTGGCGCACACCAAGATTTCTGGAAACCTTCAAAATCTGGGTTAGCCCGCTTGTCCTTAAAAGCGGCCATATTTGAATACCAGGGTTAAGAAGGATACAAGCACAAAGATAGACACATGTGACAAATTGTATGCAAACATGAGAAAAAGGTCCACATGGGCAAGTTTTTACTTTTGTAGTTTGTATCATTTCTGTACAGAATAGCCTTTCCTAGTGCTACTGTTGTCATTTTTTTTCTCAGATATCTCAAATAGTGTTTGAGATACGGTCACGTTTGTGAGACAGGGGTGTGCATCAACTTTGAGAAACAGAACAAATCAACACAATTTCGTAATATCACGTAACGGACGCGTGTTTTAACAGCTTTTACAAACATACAAATGATGAAGAAGGAGGTGAGATATGAACTATTTCTGAGACAAATGATGAAGAAGGAGGTGAGATATGAACTATTTCTGAGACAAATGATGAAGAAGGAGGTGAGATATGAACTATTTCTGAGACAAA